GAATAAAAATAAAGTAAAATATATCCATGCACACATACAAAGTCTGGATCTTGATGACACATTAGAAATTCTTAGAGTTATACAATGAAGTTCATTGACATTCAAGAACAAATGGTGATCTCTAGAAAATCATAATCTTACACTAAGGTTGGTTTCATTTGGCAACAGATCATGTCCCGCAATCTGTTGTAAGTAGCTGCCCCAGTACCAGTTACAGGAGAGGCTGGAAATGTTTCTGGTGTTCTGAAGTGGGTCTGAAGTTGGTGGGAATTTATATGGGGGGGGTGCAGGGCTAGAGGACTAGAAGGTAGGTTGTGAGTTTGTGGGTGTGTGGGTGGGGGGGTAGTAAGGGGTTTAAGATTTACAATGATGAATAATAATTCATGCTCCGGGTAATACCATGTATTTCAAACTAACAAACTGGAACTGATACTAAAATTCATGGAGGGACTATGGAGCTGCCAGGGATAGAGTTGAGCTGAAGATCCTTCAGATGCTAGACATGCAAACTCACAAATAAGATACTACCCTTTGGTAGTCAATGGATTATCTTCAAACATGTCATTTGGAAAATATGTTCAGCACAGAAAGACTCCTTCTCCTTCCTCCTGGCTACACTTGTCTTCACAATATCAGAAAAGAGATCCCATGTTGCAATCCTGTCCAAAGCTATTCATTATTCTCTTATTTCATGGCTCCTGTAAATACCTTCAGTTAAAGGAAGAGTCTGAGGTGTGGAAAGATGTACCTACTCCAGATCTCAATTGAATAGAACCCACCATAATATATAAATATATATATATATATATATATATATACATACACATATATGTATGTATCTATATATACATATATAGTCAATGTATAAAGTGGCTAAGAGCAGAGGCTTTCTGTTAGTTCCTATGGCTATTGTAACAAATTGCCACAAACTTGGTGACCACAAATCTCCAGTTTAATTATGGGAGCTATTGAAAGTACAGTTTTTGTGTTATAGCTGCAGGCATTAATAACATTCAAACTCAAGAAAAATGCCTTGAGTGTTTTGTTTTTAGTACTTTAAAGATATGGAACAATATGAAAGATTGTTTTAACATGCCTTCTATTTGGATATACATATCCCAGTAGGATTAATTTATACAGTTTAGAAACAAGTACTGCATTAACAGAATGCATACAATAATAAATTGAATAGTAAGCTATCATTTTTATATATTTTTTCCTTTCTGCTGAGAATTATAATTCATCTTGCAATGAAAAATGGATCTTGGACAAGACACCCAAGAAGATAAAAGTGAATTTGATCTTATAAAGAATATCCATCATGTTCTTTTACATGGGATAACAATTATACCTGGTAAGAATGGGTAATTTAAATTCCCTAACCACTTAGTCTAATTTTGCCTCCCGTTGATATCTCTTTTTACTTTTTATCACACTACCCTATTTTATTTTTTATAGCATGTATTATTATCTTGTTCTTTTATGTGTTTGTTTATTATCTGCCTCCCACTATTTAGATACAAACTAAATATAAAGCTTTGTCCTGTTTACTGCAGAATCCTCATCATCTACAACAGTAACTGGCCCAGAGATGGCACTTGCTGGGTATTTATTGACTGGATGAATAAACACATCAATTAATTAATTAAAATAAATAGTATGAATTTTATACAAATTATGGCAAGAATTCTAGAGAATAAAAAACTCACAGAATGGTACAGATTTGTCTTTATGGAAGTCTATGTTTAAATAAATCATTAATATGTCTTTATTTCATAGATACTTTCAGTACTTATAGAGGCAAATATAAGTATCTCAAAGGGATAATTTTTCTTTATCTTTTTAAAAATATTTTTTAACATTTATTTATTTTTGAGAGGCAGAGAGAGACAGATCATGAGCAAGGGAAAGGCAGAGAGACACACACACAAAATTCAAAGCAGGCTCCAGGCTCTAAGCTGTCAGCACAGAGCCCAATTTGGGGCTCAAACTTACGGACCGTGAGATTATGACCTGAGCTGAAGTCAGATACTTAACTGACTGAGCCACCCAGGCACCCCTACTTTATCTTGTATTCAGCTACTGTTTGGGCCCACAAAATTTTACAGACGATAGGATACACCACATTTAGGAAGTTTTCCATAAACCTCTGAGAGGGAAATAAAAAAATCAAGGAATGAATAGAGATGGGTTTTTTTTGTTTGTTTGTTTTTTTTTTTTTTTTTTTGAAACGCTGCTGTGGTTTTCTTTCTTTATAGAAAGGATCTGAGCTTACATGAAGGATGTTCAAGATATTAATGTTTTATTTACAAACAGCAAGAAAAGTACAAATATATTTGTACTTCAAACTACACAAATATATCTAAGATTCAGAACTTCTACCAAGGTTACAAAATAATTTGTCAAACCAAGCATTACCTCTCAGTCTTCAGGTTGGATGGTGGATAGTCTGGCTAAATTAGTGAAAACACATAGAATTTAATTTTTTCCAATTCTAAGAATGATGAATTGCCATTTGCCAAAGGTAAGTTCTGTTTCAGTATCTTAATCTTATATCATAATGTTTGTTAATATTCTCTTTAATGGTAAGAAAAAAATTAGTAAAAAAGTACAAAACAGTCCTTGCATAGCAATATCAAAATGTTAAAAGCATATTTCAGGTGTGAAATCTACAACATGTTCTCATAACTTTCATATTGCCAAAACAACACTGTACAGATGTGCCTGGAGTCAAGTGGCTATTAGAGCTGGTTTCTGTTGCTGTGGTAAAATGCAAAGCCCCACCAATGTCACTGATAAGATATTGTTATCAATGTTGAATTATTAGCTGAAACATTCAGTCACAGCACAGGAACTGACACTCTTTGAAAGGAAACCAAGACCCTTCTATGTTACATTTCAGTCCTGCTTGAAAATTTCTAGGTCAAAATCAGAGCAATCCAAATGCATCTACTTACACAGAATGTGCAAGTCTATTGTCCTCCTAAAATTGTCAATTCTCTATCATCTGAAATCACATTACAAAGAAATGTAGGCAGACAGCCTCTGCCGTGTCCAATATAAGATAAAAATCTTAACTCTAATTAGTCACTCTAAAAAGCTATGGTTGCTTTATATTGCCTTAATCAGTAAACTATAAAAGAAAAAAAAAGGGAGATTTTTCATTTTAACAATTCATTTATCACTCATAGAAAGTGTACATTTTATCATTCAGGGTTTGATTTAAAGTGAACCTGAGTTGAATGAATAATCTCCTTATGCTGCTCTGTTCCCACTAAAAGCCAGGAGAGACCACCACTCATTACCACTCACGCTGTAAATAATTTTAATCTGTCTCTCCTCTTATTTTCTCTCCTTCCTTTCTGATTCGTTCTGCATTGCACCTCCAGATTGATTCTTCTAAAACATATTTTCATTCACGTTATTCTTTGGCTCAAAAGCCTATCCTACCTTTTAGCCCTTCAGAATTTCATCCAAGCCCCTTCACCTCACATTCCAGGTCTTTCATTTGATCACCTTCCACTTTCCACCTCTCCTCTGACCCTCTTCCCTTTGACTAAAATCTTTAGTGATCCACTTAAGTTCATCTCATTCTCTTTCTGGAGTACATGATTTTTTTTTTTCTTTTCAATGGAGTTCTTGGTTGTGAAATATCCTTTCCTCCATTATAACATTCTTTCTTTAAGATCTAGCACAAACCCCACCTCCTGCACAGAAAGCTCTCTAAGAATACTCACACAATGACATCTTTCCTCCCTGTGGATTCCCACCACATACACATTCTCCATTAATCATATATTTCTTTGGGCCAGCTTTGAACTTATTAATTAAATTAAATGCTGCAAGGCATTTACAATTTTTATGTGTTTATATCCTCTACAAAGGTAGATTATAAACTCCTTGAAGGCAGTGGTCACTTTTTAAAATTCTTTTTATCTTCCAAGATAGCTAGCACATTGTTCTTCAAATAATAAGGATATCATTAAAGCTCCCTAAATCAAAGACTTTTAACATATTTGAGAAGTAAGTAGAGTCTATGTGTGAAGAAACATGATTCCCGAATCATTAGTAAACATGTTTCAAGGTTTCCAGGAATCCAAGATTTGGTTTGCTTGATCATTTTTTTTATAGTTTATTTATCTGGAGAGAGAGAGAGAGAGAGAGAGAGAGAGAGAGCACGTGCGTGCGCACACAAGTGGGAGTGGGGAGAGAGAAATCCCAAGTCTCACATGGGACTTGAACTCAGGAACCATGAGATCATGACCCAAACTGAATTTCAGAGAGTTAAGTGACTGAACCACCCAGGCACCACACGGTTTGCTTGGTTATTAAAGCTATTTTCTACTTACACCAAAGTTATATTATTTAATTACTTGATTGATTATTTATAAGCCATGAAATTTATAAAATATAACGTTTTAAAAACAAAGTATGTACATATATGTGTGCAACTATGTGACTGCATATAAGTATCTGTAAGTAAAACTAGGTACAGAGTTTCTCTGGGAATACAGATATTTCAAGGGCATCTCTAGAGAACTCAATTTTTATGATTTATAAAGAAACAATATGCAAGAAATGCAATGACAATCGGGACATTGATAGCTTTAATGCATTTTGAATGACATGAACAATATGCTTATAAGAATCAAATATACGTCTCTAACGTCCTGCTAAATCTTATGTTCTGCCATGGAGCACTACAGACATGTAACTGTAAATCTACATTTTCTACGAAGGTGAATCAATAGCTTAATTTAATTCCTATAATGCTTAAAATGTAGTGGAGATCTCCAAGATCCATTTTATAATGGTTTTAATACACTAGTACGTGGAAAACATGTGGAGATAATGTTACTGAAGAAAATTAAATGAACAGATATTTTAAAATCAATAGCAACTTAGGTTCTGGTTAAAGTGAGTTCTATGTATGCTGGATCTAACCTTTCACAGTGCTTTATGTGTGAGCAGTGATGTTAATATTACATATTGTCACTTACCATCTTTCAGGATGGTTTCTCGCTCGGTGCCATCTATCTTCTGCCGGCCAATTAGGAAACTGGTGGTGTCAGCAAAGTAGATATAATTGGTTTCTGCATGGAAATCTAAAGCACGAGGGTTTACCAGGTTCTCTATGGGGATCATGTATTCATCAGCTATCTTGGTATTCAAGTCCATTCCTCTAACAATTCCTGGGCGTCCTTTCCCATAAAAGAGGAACAACTCATTCTTCGGTCCTGCAGAAGAAAGATTACAAACATAAACAACTGATGCTGCCTAATCTTCTTTACACTGCATAATGCCACTGTTTAATTAACTGGCACAATTAGCTTTTTTTAAATTCAATACCAAAAATTAAACTCTAAAATATGCCAAATGTATCTCAATGCAAGAAGGCCAGCTAATTGCATTACTTTAATTAAAACAGAAATTACTTCCATGAATGGGTTATATTTAGTTAATTATTCTTTTGTCTGTAACTGTCTGTATAGCAAAAACATGACAGATCATTGGATAACTGGTAACAGTAAAATGGACATTTATTAAAACATCCAACACATTTAATTTTACAATTCATTACAATCCATCTAACACATTCTGTAGATACAAACTGTAGCATTCATTATGTCTGACAATGGTACAAACTTTAGAATATTTAAAACACCCTTCCCCAGAGTCTGCATGAAAGGCTGTCAGAGGCAAACAAATAGAATCACACAGTATCACATACTTGTATGTGAATATATTACAGATGTCTAAACAAATGATTTATTTTTTTTTAAGAAATGAAATAAAATGCCAGTTACAGCATCACTTTTTTCTTTACACCTTAATAAGAATGTTAGAGACTGATGTTATCTGCCAGTAACTCTGATGTACAACACAGCCCTTATCACAACAAAACAAAACAAAAACAAAAACCCCAAACAAAAAACAATTCCCCAGGTTAAAAATGCCAAAATCAGTGTAGCTTTTTCTATAGTGTGAATTGACTCCTTCAGACTTTCATATGGAAATACATGCCAGGCTTTCCAATTGCCAGAGCAATCGACTTAGTCTACATAATTTGAAGAAAATACTTTTATATAAAAGGAAAAACACATTGAATGTTATTAATAAAACTGAAGATACAAAAGACTCAGTTATCATAGGATGCCAGTACCATAAGTGAGATTCTTAGCAAAGTAAAATAAACTATAGAAAATTTGGAGAAAACAGAAAACAATGGGTATTACGCATAAACTCAACACTCTCAAAAGAAATTATATTATCAGTTTATATATATTTTTCTCCTGTTTTCTTTAAAAGTTAGTGTTATTGAATATTAAATGTATATAAACAAATACTTGTTGCATTTAATTAAAAAAGAAAAATAAAACAAATTGCATGTACCTTGCACAGATCTTAAAAATACTTCCGGAACACTGGAAGGGATTCATGTGCCCTAAACATTCCTTCCTCCCTTTTTCCTATTCCACTTTCATCCCAGAGACGTCCAATGCCTAATTTATTTATCATATATTTTTTTCAAGTTTTAGTCCATATGTGGTATGTATTTCCTAACAGTAGATTGGTTTTTCATGTTTGAAATTCATGTGTGAATTCTTCTGTGAGTTAACTTTATTCTTATTATAGTTGTGATATTCATCAATGGTTGTTATAGACATCATTTATTTCCACTGTTGTATTATACTCCTTTATGTGACTGTTTAAAAATTAATTTTTCTAATGCACAATTATATATAAGAGGACATTCAATTTTATATTATGCTTTCATCATTCAAGATTAGTATCTAAATTATGGTTCATGTTGATCCATTATTTAAGCCTCATGTTCTTTCACTATGATCAGTATACTATATGATAATTTGTCAAACTATCCCCCGGGGTTGGTTTTATCTTTTCATTATTATGATACTGAGATAGCCATGTTTTTTTTAACCTAGCATTTTACACATTTTTAAAGATGATCTCTAAGTATACATTTCTAGAAATGGAATTACTGGTAAAGAATATGACATCCTTGTTCCTCATTGCCCTCACAGTCTCGCTGTCCATCTATTTTCAAAAGTATCTTTTTAAAAAAATTTTCTGCTTATTTATTTTGAGAGAGAAAGCAAGTGCTGGTGGTAGAGTGGAAGACAGAGAGAAGAGGAGAGAGAGAATCCCAAGCAGCCTCCCCGCCCTCAGTATGTAGCCTGACACAGGGCTCAGTCTCACATACCGTGAGATCATGACCTGAACCAAAGTCAAGAGTATGATGCTCAACTGACTGAGCCCCCCAGGTGCCCCTATTATGTCTTTTTAAAATAATATTGCGTATTATTTAAAAGTAGTGACTATTTATTTGAAAAGTGGCATGTCCTCCAAATTTTATATGCACTGATACTTTTGTTTTTTAAAATAGGAATATTAAAAAATAAAATAACAAAATAAAATATGGATCTTATATAATTACTTTAGCACCTCATTTTTAAATTAATGATATTTTATTGTGTCATTAAAAACTCTTCAAAACATTACTTTCAATGGCAGCAACATATTCCCTGCTGGAGAGGCAGTATGGTAAGTCAGCTTACCTATTGCTGGGTCCTTAGATAGTTTCTGAGTCTTTGTTATTATAAACACTTTTACAATGAATTGTTACAGTCAAAAGAGGGATAATTTCTTACAGGATACTATCAGTTTTATGTCTTTTGTATGTTTTGTCAAATGTCTTTCCAACAGTGACATAAATTTTCACTTTCTATTAGCAATGCGTAAGAACACTGTTTTCATCATACCAGATTTTGCTAACATTTATTTTTAATTGATGTTTTAAATGGGAATTGGTAAACCTGATACTTCATTGGTTTAATGTTTGTGTACGTGTGTGTGTGTGTGTGTGTGTGTGTGTGGGCACGCACTTTAAATAAGAGTCATCATTTTCCCCATTGTTTACTAAAGCCACTTATTTTAGTCATTCAATACCTACTTTAAAATTTCCTTTAGTGTCTTGACACTTGACACTGTCAAGATACTATAAGGAAGACAACTGAAACTACAAACTACATTTCAGAGACACTCCTATAGAAATGGGCCTGATTTTAAGTACCTGCAATCAGGTGTACTAGCTGAAGCTTAGAATATAGAAATGAAGTTGTCTTTTTCTGCTCCTGTTATTATTCATCTAAAGGAGAAACTGAATTTTTCCACATTAGTGCTCTTCCTTTGTGTATATCAAGAGGCAAGGAAGCGGGTTTTGTTTTGTTTGCCAGTAGAGAACCACCAGCTGTGATATATATCTGGAGCTAATAGTTGCGGTGCAAGTTGTAGAGATCCTGGGTCTCAGCCCAAATGGTGTGCTTTTGGACCTACCATTTGTGGCCTCCTGATACCCTAGATTCTGAGTGTGACAGGTCTCCAGTTGTAAGCCAGGGTAGTTGACGGTGGTTTTGAGGGATGTTCTGAAGACTGAATCTAGAAGCTATTGCTTCAGGCTTTTCAATGATTGTGTTAGCACCTATTATTTTCTCCTTAAAATAGCTAGAACTATCTTTGTTATATAAATGCTCCTTGATTGATACACTACACTAGGGGTGATTGAAGTTTATGCAACTGTGATCCCATGTTTTTCTCCAAACATATGTATGCATTTCTGTATGCATGCACATATGTATGTATGTATATGTATGATTGTATTTTTGCACGACATGCCATCACTAGTGGTAATCACACTAGTTTAAAAGTTGGGGACACACACACACACCCATGCACACACGCACACCTCTGCTTATCTTGAGGCTCCTGACTTTCCATTATCCAGAGGATCTCCTGAACATAAAACCCACCATTCAATACAAAGTTAGAAATATAAACAAACTACTAAGACATATATTTTATCACAGTTGAGCCTCCTGGATTGCCGATTAAAAATGTTCGTTCTAATAATTCAAACCATTTAGACTTATAACAAATTTAGTGATCCAGTTTCATAGTCTTTAGTAAGCACATGACAAGAAAGTCAAAGACATGACAGAACAGTGACCAGAGAGGGAATCCTGACAGAAATAAAAAGCCATTGCTATAACAAAATGGAGACACAACAGACACTGTAAAAAGCAGTCATCATAACTTAAAAAATTATGGTATTTGGGAGACATTTAACAGAGAACAGTCTCCACATGAACACCATTCCCACAAAGGCCGTTCTACTATATTTGCTTATGAAGACCCCAAGTAAAGACTTTAATTAATTTGGGGGCAAAAATCTAAATTTGCAAAAGTCACGCATCAAATTATTCATTATCTATTTAAATAAAGAACGATTATGTTATTCAGCATATTTCAAGAATAAAACAAAGTCTAAATGTTAGAAAGCTTTTCAATAAAATTGTTAAAGAGATTGATATTTAATTAGTATAGCTCCAGTTACCTGGAAAATTAAATAATGAAATGAATTTCACTCCCCAGTGATGCTGGATAAGGTGAAACATTGCTTTATGTGGATTTTATTGGACTAAACAAAACACCTGTAACTAGGAGCAGCTTCTTAGTTCAGATAAGAGAAAATATGGTGAACCAATGATTCGGGCTCATCAGACCAAAAACCTTCTTTAGGGAATTAAAGAAAGGATCTTCCTAAAAATCTTCCCTGAAGTATATTTCCCAGGGATTCATAAATTTAGTGACTCTATAGCCTGATTCAGATTATCATTTACATTATCACAAAAACAAAACAAAGCAAAACAAACAAACAAAAACAAAACCCCTAAATACGGAGGAAAAACAGCTGGTACATTTTGCAGGCAAATTCCACCTGTTGAGTCTTATGTTATTGCTGATGTTGACATTGCTAATTAATACTAAAGAAACCTATTCTGAAGCAGTAGCTGCTGGCAAAGTGTTTGATTTTAACAACATACTTTTGCACGACCTGCCATCACTTCCCAAGTTGAAGCCCGTCCTGCAGCGACAGGTCCGTGTTTTGTAACTGCTGCTGAGCAGACAGATGTGTGAGCATCCCCCTGGCATTCCATATGGATCCACTTCACATGCATGGCTTCTGACTACAACAAATAAAAAATAGCACACTTGAACATTTCCAAAGACAAGATAATTATGTGCATCAGTATGTCGAAACTTTTACAGTGCATGGAGAGGGAATCCTCCCCCAAATCTTTAATCCCAATGATTTATTACCATCATCAATGGGAAAAAAAAAAAAACCAACCTAGATTAAACTTCATCAAAGAAGAGAGAGGAATTTGTCAAAGTCCTCCTAAGGTAATTTTAAAAAGAAAACAACTCTGCTTTTATATTTATTTAAACCGTTTACATGTAGGCACAATATGTAACATATGTCTGATGCATGCTTGTTATTTTTAAAAACACATTTCTTACAAATAGAAAAAGATACTATAAAAATATGCCAGGTTAGGTAATTAAGCAGAGAAAGGATTTATTTTGAAATCCATTACATAGGCACTTAATCTGGAAGAAATGTGATTCAGGAACTATCTTTATTGAGAAGTGCTGAGACAACTTTTTTTTTTTTTTTCCGAGTCCACTGCGATTTTGAGAACCCTACCACAAAGTGAGTGTGTGTGTGTGTGTGTGTGTGTGTGTGTGTGTGTGAGAGAGAGAAAGAGAGAGAGAGAGAGAGACACTGTAATTTCCAAAAGGAGGAGGTTACTTTGAATGTAGAGACTGAGGAACAGAAGAATATTTCATGAGTGTAGAAGTTACAAAAGGGGGAAAAATATAAAAGCACCATATGACATATGAAGAGAATGTGAAAAAGATGGGTCAAAGAAAATAAACAGTGTGGCAGGTATAACGTCAGTAAGATATTACATACTATTGTGGTTATATTTCTTTTTGATCACACTTACCTGAGATTGTGACAAATAACATGGCAATTTCTTTTTTTTTTTTTTTTTACAAATAGTTTATTGTCAAATTGGTTTCCATATAACACCCAGTGCTCATCCCCACAAGTGCCCTCCTCCATGCCCATCACCCCCTCCCCCATCCATCAGTCCTCAGTTTTTATCAGCATTCAAGAGTCTCTCATGGTTTGCCTCTCTCCCTTTCCCCCACCATTTCTTCCCTTCTTCTCCCCCTTGTTCTTCCTTTAAGTTCCTCCTAATCCTCCTATACTTGCAAACATATGTTATTTGTCCTTCTCTGCCTGACTTATTTCGCTCAGCATAACACCCTCAAGGTCCATCCATGTTGCTACACATGGCCAGCTTTCATTCTTTCTCATAACATGGCAATTTCTTTTAATAATAAAATGGTCATGCTTTAAAAATTCTGCCATGTTCATTTTGCATTCCTGATTTTCTACATGAAAATACCCCTACCTCCTACCTTTGTCCCTAACAACCTTTTGTCAACACAGCAGCCATATTGACTGATTTAAAAAGTAAGTCATATCATGAGACTCCTCTGTGTAATGCTTCCTAAGGACTCCCCATCTCTGTAAGAAAAAGATTTTACAATTGTCTAGAGGACCCTACTTGCTATGGTCCTCCTTCATTTCCCCAACCTCTCCCCTTCTACTTCTCTTTACCTTTTTTGCTCAGCTTGAGACACATAGGTCTCCTTGCTGTTTCTTGAAAACTCTAAATGTGCTCTTCCTTATGGTCTTTGTGCCTGCTCATCTTTCTATCTGCCATGTTTGTGCCTCACTCTTCAATTGCTTCAAGTTTTCGTTTAATTTCACTTGTTCACTGGACTTCCTCTAACCATTCAATACAAAATTGCAAAGTACCCCCATCCCGGAGACATCCCATCTGCTTTATTTTTCTCTATAGCACTTACTATCTTCTAATATACTTGATCACTTTAGTATTATGTCTTCTCTACTAGAATGCAAATACCATAAAGGCAAGAATTTTTGTCTGTTTTATACACTGCTGTAATCCCAGTGTATATACAATAGTTCCTCATATATAGTAGATGTTCAGAGAATAATTGGCAAATGAATATATCCTAACATCACACTCTAATAAGGTTATGTACAGAATTCCAAATTTAAATTGACTATAAACCGATTTGTGACAATACATTGCCCCGACAAAATCTATGCTAATGTTTAGATAATTCTAAATTAGTTTCATTTTGAAACACAGAAAATGATGAAAATTTGGAGTGGTCATTCTTGCATGTTACATTATTCTATATATGACCAGATATAAATTGTACTGATAAACAAGTATCACTAAACTACTATGCAAAAATAACTAGTTTGTGTTTTTAGAAATAATTGGAAACATTATAGCCTTCTCATTACAAGTTATTTTTTAATTACCTTGTATTAAATAATTGGGATAAGTTAAGAGACCCAAATTACTAGAGTAAAAATTGAACAGATACTGAAGGATGGTAGTTGATTTGAAATTATTCTCCCAGAATGATACCAAAAATCATCCTTAGCATCTTAGTATCTGGGTTTTCTGTCTAAACACATCATGACTGAAAGCTCTTTCCTGAATCTAAATCTAGCCATCATTTCAATACTATGGTTGTAGAAACAATTCACTAGGAACTGAAGAATGTGTCATTGAAACTTGTGCAGGGAGCACTCTTCCATTTTATCAGGCAGACATGTACCCTTTTGCTATCAAACAGAATTTTCGACTCACCCACTTTAACTCCATATAGAGCACAAGGACCATCTCCCCATTCAACCCCACCATTATAAAAGCAATGTAGAAGTCTTGTGTCTTACCTGTTGGTTGAGTTCTTTTTTGATAAATTCGGATTCCTCGAGCGTTTTCCATTTTAATTAATGATTGAGTATCAGTGCCATTAAATCGGTTTATCCTTATGATACTGAAGTTATCAGAATTGGTTGCATACAAATAATCTTCAAACACAGTTATACCATAAAGATGTCTGATCTATATAGAGGGGCAAAAATAACTATGATTTTTAATTATGTTGCTTTTAACTTGAAAGGAAAACTGATTGCTATTTACTACTGTGGAAAATCTCCATAGAAGAGTCACATACATATTATCATTTATTTTCTCTTCAAGAATTCAACATTTCACTAATTTATTTCTTTTTCTCTGAGAAGAAAACATTACGCAGTGGTAGATAAAGCAGTTCCAAGTATATGGAAAATTTTATTCATGATTAAGAAAACATGTTTAGTAGCTACTTTTCAAAGGCTAGTAAGAACCTAACTTCCAAGCATATTCAATTGTATGCTTAAGACACTGTTATATAAAATTTGAGATGATTTTATGGGCTGTTTGTTCGTATAATTAGGAGATACAGAATCTAAAACAGTGCAGCTCTGGCTGTGTGGACTCATGAGAAAACACCTTTGAAAATTTATTTTATAATAAGTTCAAAATCCCATTTTAATTCATTTTTTTAAACTTTATTTTAATGTTTTTATTGTATTTCTGAGAGAAGGAAACAGAGTGTGAGGTGTGAGTCGGGGAGGGGCATAGAAAGGGAGACACAGGATCTGAAGCAGGCTCCAGGCTCTGAGATGTTGGCACAAAGCCTGAGCCGGGCTCAAACTTGTGGGACCCTGAGATCATGACCTGAGCTGAAGTCAGTCGCTTAACTGTCTGAGCCATGCAAGTGCCCCCTTTTCATTAAAAATTTTAAGTCACATGTTACACTTAGATGAATACTTGCTCCAGCAAGAAAAACAATAAATAATGAAACCAAATATTTAAATAATTGTAAAAACAAAATTCACTCAGAAATTACATTTTTTTTTTTTAACGTAAAGGCTATTCATAACAGAAATGGAGCCGTTTGCTATCCATGACACTTTAACACGCTAACTCTGCTTAGCAGAGGTCCTGGGGATTGAACATGGGTATGGACAATTTACATTTGCAGAAAGCTGCTACTATAGCACAGAAAGAATGGGTTTACTGATTTTCCCATACAAATGCCTGTAGGCTGTGCACAATGCCTTTGGGTATTCCTTATATTAGGTTTGATTTACAATGCTTCTGCCTCAGGGTAGGGTGGGGCTATCATTTAATTTGCTTTAGAGATTTTGTTGAAAGCAATCTGTCACAATTCTCTGGCATTATATTGCACTTTTAGTGAACTTTTAGCACAGATTGTAGTTAAGAGAATTTGAAAAAATGATGGTTTGATTGTAAGGTATTTTATAGAACAAAATTATAAGTTCTTTAAATTATTTTTTTTATAATTTTTTGAATGTTTCTTTTTGAGAGTGAGAAAGACAGAGCACGAATGGGGAAAGGGAAGCAAGAGAGGGAGGTGCAAAATCTGAAACAGTTCCAGGCTCTGAGATGTCAGCACAGAGCTGAACTTGGAACTTGAACCCATAAGGCATGAGATCATAACCTGAGCCAAAGTCAGATGCTCAACCCACAGGTGCACCACCCAGGTGCCCCCAATTTTTTATTTTAAGCAGGATATTTTATAAATTTTGTACTTTAAGCAAAAGCATTTGATTCATTCTCTCCAACCTACACGACTCATTATTACTATCGCTTGTCCTGTCATATGAATTGTAATTACAAGAAGACTGGTTGTTGCATGCTTTGTTTTGGGGGGTGGTGGTGATCATATCGCATTTCTTCATGTCCAGGCCAGAAATGAAAGATAGGAATTAATAAGGATAATCATTCCATGCTAAAGCCCAAATAATATTTTTCTGTGTAAGAGTTATTCCCTAATGTGTGTGTGCCTGTGACTGCGTCTGCACGCACACACATGCCAAAGAGAAGGGGCGGGGATGTCGTGTGTTTATTTACTAATATCATATCCACATAAGCTGACATCATGTTCACTAGATAAATCTATGGTCCAATTTTGACTTGAGCAATACTTTTTCCTATAAAAATTCCAAGTGAATGGAATTCTTCCATCAACAATAATATCATGCATGTTTTGCCCAAAGTTTAGAGCCATTCTTCTGGGAGGTGTGGTTGTGGCATACTTTTACTGCTCTTCCACATGCTGGAGAGAAAGCATAGCCATAGAAGGGGAAGTTGGGCAGGTAGAAAATATAGTCACATGGTAAAGATCAATTGTACTCCCTGTCCCCGTGTCCTCCTTCAGAAGAACCTGTTTCCCGTAAAGTAAGTACACCATTGCTTGCTCTGCTACCTCTGACAGATGTGGGAGAAGCTGAGAACGGTGGATAGACCATTCTGCCAATAGCCTGAATACTTAGAAAAATTTATCTATGTTTGATTACTTAGTGGCAGAGTTAGAATATGTTTAGGGAATCAGAAAAAAAAAAAAACTCAGGTGATAGAAACGGGAAAAAATGAATAATTAAAAACTTTGTAAAAGTAGTCATGAGGAAAATCATTTTAATTTCTCATCATTGTTTCAAGATTTAACATTGGAATGACATATTGAAAAGAAGATCCATCATAGTCATTTTAGAAATTAGGTCCTCTAAAAGTCCTAACTAAGGCCTTCCAAGAAATTAGGGGTTTTAGGACAGGTTAAAGTAAGAATGAAACAACTGGCCTCATCTCTAATATTGGACATCTTTTTTAATTTCCCAGATTAGTGCATTTGCCTGTCTGTCAAGGAAGGAAAAATAATTTCATTGTTAAAGACTGATTAGAAAGGAAAAAGTACCCTTGAGGGATAATTATAGAATATTTGTGTCTCAGATTACAAAAGAAAGAAGAGATTCATGTATTTCAGCTCCCAAGAATAAGAATCTTGCATGAAATTAGTGCAATCACTGAGGTAAAATTTAATTTCAGAGAGTACACTAGTGAATAAGGCTTATTTCTACTTAGAGATCTCCTTTAGGTGTTTACTGAGTGTTATCTGCAAAACTTTATAATTCAACAATGGAGAACCTATACAGATGGGAAAGAGCTTGACCTCAATGACATTCATGGAATTCTCATTCTAGGAAGTACTTGAAAACATCAGAAGGCAAAATTTAGTCCAGCCTATTAAATTAATAAAAATACTTTTGTGAATAGGCATTTGCTTTTGTTAGCAAAATATCTCCAGGGCCACATGGGATACATGATAGACTAGCTCTTTCTGAATAAACTGCTTAAATTAGATTTTAGTAAGTTTTAATTTTAATAGGTCAAAATATCTGTCCTATTCTAATTCCTTTCTTACTAGCAGGGCACTTTTGTTTTTGTTCTTTTTTTGTTGGTTTTTGTTTTGGTGTGCTTTGTTTTTAATAGAGCGGGGTGGGGGGGGCGGGGGCAGAACAGTCTCCCATAGAAGAGATACATCACAATTTTTATGGCCCTTTGCAACTTGACTTTATAAGAAATTTCCAACACTGCAATTCAAATTTTGGGTCTTCTTCCTAGTATGATACCATTCATTTCATTACCTTAGCTGCATTTTCTAACAGAATTGTACTTACTTGTCTGCCTTGAATGATAGTATGTCTGTTTTTTCCTTGATAATCCACTACTTCCACATAGTCCAAGTAAAGATCTACCCAGTAAACCAATTTGTTGACTAAGTCTAGTGCCAGTGCAGCTGGCTGTTCTGTCTTTGAATCAATTATCCTTGTTCTGTTCAGCCCATCCATGTCACATCGCTCCACTTTGGCCACATTCCCGTAGTCAGTAAAGAAAAGTTTTCTGTTGAAAGAAAACTAAATGTTAAAGTGGAGGGGGGGTGAAGCATATTCAATAGAACCATCTGTAAAAAACAGAACTTTTCCTTCTAATTTATTTCAGTGGTTACATCTGTTAGCCTCCCATAACCATTTCCATATAATATCACTCATAAACAGAGAAATCTGCTAATGAATATTGCAGGGCATAAGGGAGCAGGTTAACTAACAACTGTAAAATTTCCCCAAAATGAATGATTATGGTGGGTTTATTTTTGTATTAGGGGAAATGTTTCTTTAAGCCTCATAGAGCTGATAACACAGAAACCACAGGAAAGCATGCAGCCTGTTTGCCATAAGCTTCAGAAGTGAGCCAAGTCACCAGGCCAGGGCACGTGAGCTATCAGGCTTTATCTTCAACCTGCTTTTCAAATTGCCTAGTAATGTCTGTCTCCCATAAAAGCTGTTATGTGGAACTCAATGATTCTATGAGTGGTAGAGAATAGCAAACCTGGAATGGAATTAAGCAGATGGAAAAACAAATGTGGTGTTTGTAGCAATGGAAATAAAACATAAATTAACCCCCTCGAAAATAAGCAATCCCAAATTCTCCCAAATATTCCCAAATCACAAAATTTCATAAAGTGAATACAGGTCATTTTTCCTCATTTTCTCTTTATTTAAAGAAGAGTCTAAAAAGCAATGTTGATCTCCAAGATAAATTAATAATAATAATAATAATCCTTCCATGAAACACTGCCTTTTCAAAGGTTTAAGTACCTCCAATATTTCAGTGTCTAATATTTGATTAGTATTCACTATGTTTAGTAAACACAAATCAATTTCAGTTAACCTGACAATATTTTAACAAGATTACCTACTCAGGAGACTAAATTACATTTGTAAATAGAAGACAATCTTGCCTTGACTTAAATACAATCTCAAGAATAATCTGATTTACAGTGACTGAGCAATATTAAGAATACCTAGAGTACAGAATATTTGATTTTATCAACTTGGTCAGTTAGTTTTTAGTTACTTTTCTCAACATACTTGCATTATCTAACAGTATGGGATATATTTCAAGCTAAAAAGTATTATTTAAGGTTTAATTTAGCTCTTTCTCCTGCAGGAGGTTTTAACTAATTTTTAAACATTAATGCATACTGTTCTGTAATAGTGTAAGCCAGATTTTATTAGTAGTATATATTTCCCAAATGTTCTTAAAAATTGATTTATCACACTAAGTTAAAAATTACTTTTCAGGTGACATTCTATTCAGGTGAAAAGCTTTTCTATTCTAGTAAAGAATAAATAAAAGGGCATATAATCCTATATATTATTATCATATTGAATGCTCACACTTCCACTCGTATGCTCGCTCGCTCTCTCTCCTCTCTCTCTCTCTCTCTCTCTCTCTCTCCCTCCTGCTTCCATCTTTCATCTCCTCTTTCTTCTCTTTAAGTCAATTTGTCAATTGGTTCATAGCTATACCGAGTTAAACTGCCATAATGAGTACATAGCTTTCCTATTTCTTACTGTAGAACATTGCCCACTATTCCTGTTATATATATATGAAGCTCTCTTTTTCCTCTCATAAAAAAATGCCTCCTCTTTCAGTTTCCTGTTCTGATGGGTCCATTTCATGGAGCAGAAGAGACGCTCATGTGCAGGTAGATTAGCTCTGTGCACAGAGAGTTGGAGGCTCTGGCACACTATGGATGATATGAAATGGATAGGCTATGCATCGATGGTGATATAAAGTAGGAGACTGTACCAACTACATGGTGTTGAAGAGAAAAAATAAATCTGGAGTTAGAGACTTCTTGGAAGTCATCTTGTGATGGCTTAAATTATATGCGATCCCAAAAGAGAAAAGAGAAAAGTATGGCACAACCAGAACTGTGGATGCATGCCATCAGAGAGAGAGAGAGAGAGAGAGAGATCAGAGCTCTGGTCAAAGAGATCACACAGACTTTCATAGAAGTCTAAAGGAGAAAAGTTCCAGGATAAAGGATTGCAGTGGCTGGCTAGGTCAATCACAAAAACAAACAAGCAAAAAAACCAAAACAAATAATAATATAGGTTAAGAAAATGTCAGGAATTTGGTATTTGTTAAAATACTAGTAATTTTGTGATAATTCTGCTTGAGAAGTTTAGTTATGGGGAAAGAGTGAACCAGCTGATGATGACAGAGGTCAGGAAAATAGAACTTGTTTTTCCAGGAAGATTTTCAGTGATATTGACCAGTTATGGCAGGAATGATGCAAGTGAATGTCATAATTCCAGGTCGTAATAAAAATGGCTGAGGTAACTAAGTTTCAGCCAAAATATGGAGGAAAATATATGATTATCAAAAATTCACTGTTTTAATGGAGTAAAATCAAAAGGACAGGGGGACTTAAGGTATGTGAAAGAATTGGTAAATAAGCGCCAGAAGAAATAGTAAAGGATTTGCCTTCTATCCCCAACACAGAGTAAATAAGCAAACAAACAAGCAAAAAAACCCCGAAAAACGAGTACCAAATGAAAACATAAAAGATGTTTCTAAATGGAACCTTTTCAGACTTCAGAACACTATGATAGACTCTGTTTATTTCTAAGTGAAATATAAGAAATGGAAGAGTTCTCAAAGATAATAGAAGATAATAGCACTAACATCACAAAATTGCAAGCATTAAGTACCCACAGTCACGGGATTATATACATGTTTTTTGTTTATTAATGTTTAACTTTAGTTTAAAATCTACTACTGTTACAGAGAAAAGCTTCATTCTCAGGGAATTCCTTAATTGAAGCGAAGTTATATTATAATTGATAAGCCAAATCTGAAGTCTGTATCTAAAACTATCTAAATTTATTTGTTACATAAGTGTAGCTGGGTTGAAAAATCACTCTTTTCTTAACGTATGAAATATCTGTCCAAATCTTAGAAAAACTAAATAGTGCTTTGTGAGCTCCATTATCTCACTGATCTTTATAAATTACCTGTGAGATGGAAAGGGCAGATTATATTACAGAGTAAACAGGCTCAAAGTCCACATAAGTATTCACTATCAGAGCCTTAACATGAATGCTTATCATGCCTTTAGTTTTTAACTCATTATTTTGAAATAACTTCAAACTTACAGAATAAGTATAAGAATCGTAGTATGAACACCTATATCCTTCACTTGCATTCATTAGTTCACCTTTGTCCCTCTGGCTATTGTTAGTACTGTCTAGTACCATCTGACAGTAAATTGCAAACATGGTGACCCATTACACCTAAATAGTTCAACCTGTACCTCCTAGGCACAAAGACATCCTTTTGCTTATAGTTCACCTATCAAAATCAATACTTTTAACACTGATAAAACATACAGTTCTTATTCAAGTTTTGCCTTTTGACTAACAACATTCTAGATAGTAAAATTTCCTTTATTCTGGTTAGGATCTAACCCACCATCATTCGGTATTTTCTGAACACTTAACTCTCTTTAACTTCCAGGGATCTCAGTTCCCTTTTTTTTTTTTTTTTTTTTTATATTTTTTTTATTTATTTCTATGAGAGAGAGAGAGAGACAGACAGCGTGAGCAGGGGAGGGTCAGAGAGAGAGGGAGTCACAGACTGAAACAGGCTCCAGGCTCTGAGCTGGCAGTCAGCACAGAGCCCGATGCGGGGCTCGAACCCACGAACCGCGAGATCATGACCTAAGTGAAAGTCGGACGCTTAACCGACTAAGCCACCCAGGCGCCCCTCAGTTCCCCTTTCAATAACTTCTCCTACCAGGAACCAAGTATCTTCTGCTGCTTCAACTACAGCAGAGCTCCCAGAGTAGTGTTATGTCTATTGAACTCGTGGTGGATACTAGGGACCATTCCAATATCTGTCCTATACCCAATTTCCTCAAGGTTACAATATTGACGTTTCTTCTCTCTCTGTTCAATCCTGTGACATCAATTGTTTTTTATTCTCTGACATTTTCAATAGCAACTGAGATTGCTATTCTTTTGTTCTTCACTTCTTTTTTGAATGGCAGTCTAATTGATTCCTACTAACAAATATTTAAATTAAAGTAAAACAATACTCCTACTATGTCTGTATTTCTTTGCCATGTTTAGCTATTAATTCATAAATGACAGAAACATTTCTTTCACCTTTTCAATTCATCATCCAGTTCATTATTCTTATGATTCAGCATCTGTAGTAAATAGGAGTTTTTCATTTTGGCTTCTTTATCTCATCAGATATGGGAAACTGATTTTAACTAACATCTTAGTTGATTATATGAGTAGCCCTGTTTTACTGTAGATATATAAGTTTTATACAATTGGAGATAGTAAGAAACTTTGAGTATTGTTGGCAAAGTTGCCTGACATAAATCAAAAGTCGCAAAGGGAGCCCTCACAGACAGTGATAGAGTGCTGTGCTTACAGAGTTATGGCTCCAATCATCCCTACACTCTAAAGCAAAGCAATTGTTACAGGTACTGGCATCTTAAAACATGTATTTTATTTACTTTAGCTGATAAAAGTAAGCCTTGCTTTTGCCAGTGATATACATGTTAAATGACGCCTCTGTAGTTTTGTACTGTATCCAAACCGACAAAGGGGAATTTAAATATTTTAGAGTCCTATCGAAATCTTTTTTTAAAAATGTTTTCTTTATTTCTGAGAGAGAGAGAGACAGAGACAGAGACAGCATGAGCAGGGGCGTATGAGAGAGAGAGGGAGACACAGAATCAGAAACAGACTACAAGCTCTGAGCTGGCTGTCAGCACAGAGTCGGACGTAGGGCTCGAACCCATGAACAGTGAGATCACGGCCTGAGCCGAAGTCAGACGCTTAACCGACTGAGTCACCCAGGCTCCCCCTATCCAAGTCTTTTAACTGCATGGTCAGCCTTGCTTTTGTGTCACATTCTTACCCCTAACATTTGGTTATAGCTTAATGACAGAATTTAGAAATTTTCAGAGTTCTCGCAATGAAATTACCTACTATTCATTTCAACTGCTTAAATATAAGGTTACATGGCAAGATTTGGGTTAGAGAATAGATGAGAGGGAGCAAGACATAAATGTAGTGGACCATATATTACCAGATTAAAATATAATCATTGTTATGATTAGGGCCTAGCAAAGCATCCACATTTAAGAATCATGTGTTAAAGTAGGTAACTGCATTTCTTTACATTTTAGAAAAATCGTGTATTTGGCAAGGATTACATTAGGAACTTCATTTTTCAGCCTTGTTTTTAAAATAAGTGTTACTCAAATAGCATCAATAGTAATACAACTTTTTTCTTCCATTGTGTATACAAAAATTGAACAAGAAAGCAATTTTCCACATTATATAGAGTAATTAAAGTACATTCAGAACTAAAGTAGGAATATTAAATATTTAGCATTGCAATTCTAAAATGCAATCGTAAATCTCAAAGAGTAATGAGTCTTTGGAGTAAGAGGTTTAAATTCAAATTCTATTAGCTCCTGCTTCTTAAGGGATATGGATGATAAACAAACTATTTTCTCTGCCTAGCCAAGACTGTCCAAGACAGTTATTTATTGATTTTTACTTGTTGAGGTTTTTGCTTTCATTGTTTGAAAAATCTCTCTCAAACTTGGTTTTCAGTTCATACATAAACAGACAGAAATTAAACTTGACATATAGACTCCTGCTCTGAACTGCCTACTCTGTATTCTGGAAACATTCCCACTAATGATTCCCCCAGAAGTGCACATATATTAGATATGTCAGTCAATGGCTGACCCATTCAACATCCTTATTCACCTAAACCTGCTCCACCCAGTTAGTGTTCCTGAGAGGAGCAGACTTATGTGCCAATAGCATCTTTCTCTTTCCTATTTACAAACAATTAGACCAATGTGGAACATATGATACAAATGAAAACAAATAATAGGGTCAGCTGAATCACCAAAATACCTTCTCTCTATATTCTAAACCAAACTTTAGGGGGAAGCTGTGCTAACAAGGATATGAGGAAGAGGAGGGGGCAAGACTGGGGACAATGCAAGAGAAGAAATACTGGAACACATTCACAGAAGTGAGTGAGAGATGAGACACAGAACTGGGCTGAAAGGAGCCATGCAATTCTTGAATGAAGAATTTGCCAGTCCCCATACAGACCATTTTTACGTCTTCTCCTTAGTTGTGTAAACACATAAGACTTTCCATATTGTCTCAGAAAATCTTTATACATTTGAGCTAGCTTCAGTGGGTTTCTATACTTGGAAGCTAAAATGCCATGAGAAACCACTACATTGTTTAATATTCTATTTTAAGATCCAGATAATTCTTGTTCTGAAGTAACTGAACAAACAAAAATCATACCACTTTAGAAGATATTTTACGTTGAAATGTTAACTCTAAATAAAACAATGAGAGGAGATGTTGGCAAGTGACATAACTCATAAGGGGTTAATTCAAAATATATAGAACTTATACACTCAACACGAAAATAAATAGTCTGATAAAAAATGGAGAACCTCAATAGACATTTTTCCAAAAAGGACATATAGATGGCCAACAGACACAAGAAACGATGCTCAACATCATTAATCGTCAAGGAAATACAAATTAAAACTACAATGAGATGTCACTTCACACCAATTTGAATGACTAAAATTAAAAAGATAAGAAATAACAGGTGTTGGAGCGAATGTGGAGAAAAGGAAATGCTGGTGTACTGTTGGTAGGAATGTAAATTGGTGTAAACATGATAGAAAACAGCATGGAAATTCCTCAGAAACTTGAAAATAAGAATGCCTTATGATCCAGGAACTCCACTATTGGATATTTGAGAAGACATATGCACCCATACATTTATTGCGGCATTACTTACAATAGTGAAGATATGAAAGCAACCCAAGTGTCCATCAATAGATGAATGAAGATGTGTTATACACAGACACACACACACACACACAAACACAGGAATATTACTCAGCCTCAAAAAAGATGAGATCTTGCCACTTCTTTCAACAGGGATGTCTTGGAGAGTATTATGATAGGTGAAATAAGTCAGAGAAAGACAAATACCATGCAATTTCACTCACATATGGAATCTAAAACAAAAACAAATACTCAGAAAAAAAATGATGGTTGCAGGAGGGGAGGAAGATGGGGGATGAGTGAAATAAAAGAAAGGGATTAAGAGGTAGAAACTTCCACCTAGGAAATAAATAAGTCACTGAGATAAAACGTGTAGCACAGGAAATATGCTCAATAATATGTCTTGTATAGTAACAGATGGTGACTATACCTATTTTGGCACAATTATTCCATAATGCATAGAATTGGTGAAGCACTATGTTGCACACCTGAAACTAATATAACATTGCATGTTAATTACAAACACATAAAGAAAGCAATCATTTTATACTTTTCATATGTAATCCTCAAATAACTCCCATCTTGGCACTGAATAATATTAAAAAATAGATCAATCTTGCATAAATAGAAAGTATCTGAAATCTTTCTTGCAACCTCCAGTGAAAAGACAAAGAAAGATACTAGTAATGAGCAGCTTTAAAAAAAAATTATCTTTCAATTTTTTACAACTGAATATACTGTTAACGTTACAGATTTCCCGATGTCCTTTCCTAATTCCAGCTGGCTAAAGTTTCTCACAACTCAAATACAGCCTACCTCAATCTGCACCTCACCCCAATACTGCCTTGAACTAATCTTTTTATTATCTTTTTTTAAAAATATTTTTATTTATTTCTAGGAGAGAGAGAGACAGCATGAGCAGGGGAGGGTCAGAGAGAGAGGGAGACACAGACTCTGAAATAGGCTCCAGGCTCTGAGCTGGCAGTCAGCACAGAGCCTGACACGGGGTTCGAACCCATGAACCGCGAGATCATGACCCAAGAGAAAGTCGGACGCTTAACCGACTAAGCCACCCAGGCGCCCTTAATCTTTTTATTATGTTAACCAAATAATTAAAAAAAAACAATAAGTCATAGTTTTTTAGGCTTTTATTCTATTTGTTTTCCATTTTCCATATTCTGAGAGTCAGGATTCAATTCACCAAGTAATAAATCTGCCATTGTAAAAGGAGAGTGATTTTAAAAAGGTAGAGAAATACAAGGATTTGCATATTATTTTTTTTATCTTTGTCATATAGATATTTCATCACTGTTTAACATAGATGGGACACCAATGGGGGGAAAATAACTAAGCATCTTTCTCTAGATTGTTAGTGCCTGAGGGGGAAATATTGGCCTATCAGCCAAAGAAAGGCTGATCCAACTTGACTTGCTTATGATCCATCACTTCCTCTATTCTCCGATAAATAGAACCACTTGGTTTATGTTCACGTTCTCATTCCTCCTACCCTTGGCTCCACTTAATTGCAAATACCAAATATAACTGCATGAAAGATAATGACACACTTGGCTTCACAATTTGACTAGCTGACAGCCCTTATTCTCAGACTGTAGTTGGAACCCTTATAAACTCATCTTTAAGATAAAATCTTTCAACATTGTTACCTTGTTTATGCAGACTTCTACTTAAAGTGCAGTACAGTATAACTTTCTGTCCACTGATACAAACGTCTTTCTTCTTACCGAAACCTTTCTGACCTGAAACTTCTACTCCATGACCATAAACTCCCCAATATTCTAAGATTATCCTCCTAAAGTTCGTTCCAACTTTTTACTTTTTCTGCAACTTGGCATCTCCTGAGGTCATCTTTTTCCAGCAGTCACTGAGAACGTGGGCTCCTTACAGGAACCTCAGGGTAGATATAAAAATCAGTGCCCTCCTCAATATTCATTCTAGTTTATTACTTTCCTCTTATAACATCTCCTGCTTTTTTTTTTTTTTATATTTTTTACTTATTTCTAGGAGAGGGAGAGAGACAGCATGAGCAGGGGAGGGTCAGAGAGAGAGGGAGTCACAGACTGAAACAGGCTCCAGTCTCTGAGCTGGCAGTCAGCACAGAGCCCGACGCGGGGCTCGAACCCACGAACCGCGAGATCATGACCTAAGCGAAAGTCGGCCGCTTAACCGACTAAGCCACCCAGGTGCCCCGCATCTCCTGCATTTTTGAGGATCTCACGAATAGCATCCATCTTCAAAGAATCATCTGCCAACCTTCCATTTTCTTATATCATTATTTTTATTTAAGATTCAGCATCTAGCTTTCTCTCTGACCTCTCCAAACTCGGAAGTCAGTAACTCCAACATCTGCAGGACAATGGATCCACAGCTTTCTCCTGTGTGTTCTTGACCTTTCTGTATATGGCTTTATATTTCCAGTACACTTCAACCCCAAATTTCCATCATGACAAACATCACCAGAAATTATACTTCTACCAAAAAAGATACTCCCCCCTCCCCATACACACACATAAGAACATCTTATTCTTCCACCTGACTCTATGTTTACTATCTGTACTGCTAAAGTGATCTCATTGCAGTACCTTTTTGACTCCATTGAGACCTTGTTCCCACAGACCCTCTCCATTTTCTGTCCATCAACCAACCTTCAACTTTTATTTTTCTTATTCTCCAGTGTCTACTCCCCTTGTAATTCACTTCATTCCACCCCACTCCACTCCCAAAGAATGATCTTGCCTCTTACTGAACACAGAAGGGAGAGCACATCAAAAGCAACCCATTTACTTTATTACAGCCCCAGGTAAAACCCACCTACATCTACATCAATTCTTCCCCACCTCTCGTTTTGTAATGCAGGAGGAAGTTTTCTCCCATCTTTTAGAGCAATGCAAAGCAAAACTTCAAACGCATCCCATCTCCTCTGTAACTTGTCTTCAATAATTCCTACTTCTTTCTGCATTTTAACCTCTCCTTTTCTAAATCTTACCTTCAATATATGAACTTGCTCTACTATTTGTCATCCTGAAACAAATATTTTAACCTCAAAACCCTATTTCCAGCCCTTTCTCTCCATGCTTTATTTGTATCCAATATTCCCCAAAGAATTTGTTCATACAAGCTGACTTTATTTTTTCCCCTCAATCACTATTTATACCAAACTGATAAATCCTCTGCCCTCCACCATTCCACTTTTTTTTTTTTTCTAACTTACAGAGGTTGGCAATTACTTACATGAGGCTAAACCTTTCTCAGTCCTCATTTTACTAAACTCTTTGTAGCATCAGACCAAGTTAATCCCTTCCTTCCTGTTGATTATTATTTTCTTTCTCTTAGCACTCTTTTGGTATTCTTCCTACTGGCAGCTTTTTCTCAGTTATCTTTTCCAAGTCCTCCTTCTGTATCATGCCCAGGATTCTAAAACTGGAGTTTCCCAGGGTGAAACATAGAATCTCTAAATTTTCTCATAGAAAAATCTTTAAAATTTTCATGACTTTCATTAATACAATAACTTTCTTATTTAAAAAAAATGATGTTTATTTATTTTGAGAGAAAGAGAGAGAGAGAGGACAGGGAAGAGGCAGAGACAGAGGGAGACATAGAATCCGAAGCAGGTTCCAGGGTCCGAGCTGTCAGCACAGAACCTGACATGGGGCTCCAACTCACGAACTGTGGGTCATGACCTGAGCTGAGGCTGAATACTTAACCGACTGAGCCAGCCAGGCACCCCTACAATAATTTTCTTCTATTCATTCTAACCTGCCTTCTGAGATTATAACTCACAAATATAGTTGCATTTTTGATATTTGTGTTTAAATTGTCTTAGGCATTTCAAATATAATATATCTAGTACTAAATTGTTCTTTTTTGCCAAATTTATCCCTTCATTTTTCTCCACTTTGGGAAATAGTGTCACTTTCTACCCAGTGACTCATTCCAGAAACCAGGCACACATCCTCTATAACTTCTACCTTATATCCTTTACATCTAATTCATTACCATATCCTGCCACTTCTAGCTTCAAAGTATGTCTCAAATTCATATATTTATTTCCTTCTCTCTCTTTCCTAAACCAAGTCACCATCAACTTTTGCCTGGGGACTTTTATCTCTTTTTCTTGTTCCTTTTAAAACTACTCTGCTCATATTTGCCAAAGGGATCTCATTAAAATGAAAAGTGTATTATAAAAGTTTCCTACAGCTGCTAATAGCCAACATTGCCAACAATGGTAAGCATGATTTAGCCTTTGCCTATCTCTCCAGCTTCATCTACTGGTATACTTCCCCACTTCTAATACCTTGGCCATCTAGTGGTATCCTTCTATACTTTGGCCATTTTTCAATTCCTTAAACAACACATGTGATTTCTTCTGTTCTTGCTCTTCATCTATCTGTCCCCCAATCTGAAAAGTAATTTCTGTCATGGTATCTCAATCTTGGCTTTAGTTTTCAACATAAATGCCAGGTCCTGTGACAAATCTTTCCTGCTTTTCCAATAGCAGTTAACTCTCTTGATATAATCTCCTGTCATTCTGTATTTTTTATAATACTCTTCTTTATTTTACTTGCATAAAATATACAGACAGACGTAAATACATGATGTGCTTAAGATCTGTTTATTACGTAGACTATGACCTCCAAGAGGACATAAGAGAATATATCTGCTTTTTTAGTATTGCATGCTCAGGACCTAGCCATGTGTTTGCCCATTCATTCATTTTCTTTCCAGTTCCCTTCTCTTCTCTCTCCCTTTCCCTTCCCTTTCTGTTTTCTCTCTTTCTTCTTCTTTCTTTCCACACACATGAAGCCTCTGTACTGACTTCCTAATATTGGATAATAAAATCTAAATCAGACTTTAAATTAGGTTCAAGGGGAAAAAATATGGAAAAAAAAATTCTACCATAGGAAAATAAATTAATTTTCCAAACTATCCAGCACAGTTAATCGGAACTATACTTTGGACCCACATCTTTAGCTATTAAGAAATAATTGTTTTGCTTTAGTTTTATTGCACTGTCCCTTTTGCATATAGTTCCCTTTCAAGAATTTGTAGGGAAAAGTGACTGATTCATGGTAAGATTTGGTTTTCCTGTGCCTGGCCAATTTTCATTTTTAGTGGCATGTCCTCAACATTTCTTACTAATTAACTATAGTTAATTATAACTATAGTTATAACATATATATAACAACACTTTGCTGTATTCCTAAGGGGGTCAGACTACCTACATCTAGTATCCAGCAAAAGCTTGCTTCTTTGTAGCCTTAAAGTAGGATATTAATATAATCAACATAAATTTTAAGGATACTGTCACCTAGGAGTAGGATAGTTTGAAAGTAATAGGGGTCTAGATAAGAGGATATTAGTTTGGTAGTTATGCACTAAGTAGAGGGGCTGAAACTGGAAGAAAAAAAAAAACGACAGATTAGAAATATTTGGGGTCCTAGTTGATAGGACTTAATATTTAATTACTTGACTAGGAACAAGGATGAGTATAGAATTCTAGTATACTAACTTTCATAAAAATATTTCTTGAATATATTTTGTCTTCAGATTTTTCCTCAGAAAGTCTACCTGTCTTATAAGATCTCAAGGAATCTCTCCATTTAACACAAAGAATGATTTTACAGTCTAAGTATATTACCTTCATGACCAAGGGCATTGCTCTCTTAGGAGTCCTTCAAGGGTCAGTTCGCGGGATGTCAATACTCAAAGGCTCATGCTCAATATACTTGATTCATGTGGAACGGTAGAATATTGGCAGTAATATATTAGATGTCAAAAAGTTGCTCTTTGCGATACGCAGAGATGTATAACCTAATTTCCACACTTAAGGAAGTCCTTTTGGTTTATGGAAGCATTTTTCTGAGCTAAAATAACACAGATGGCTGTCTCAGAAGTGAGTAAGGTAAGTATCCATGAAGTTGTGGACTGCTGAACAAATCTGGTTCACTGCTATGCTAATTGCCAGTTAGCTGAACTGTCAATTTCTATTTTTTTACTAAATGGAGAAAAACAGCATGTAGAAAAATGAAACTCTACCTCACAGTTTTCTTGTGTATTATTTATTGTTTATACTTGTGTGCACACCTCAGTTTGCTGTTTGAATACTGTCCAGTAATATTGCAATGATGACAAAATCGTATGGTTACACAGAAAACATGACAGTGTGAAAAGATAAAGATTTCTTTGCCTGATATTCACTTTCTTAGCTGTGAAGGGCAGATGTACTTAGAAAAAACTAAGATAAAAGTTCTGTAAATCAATAATTTCTTCGTAAGTGATGTTACCCAAATTTCTTGGTTTAATTTTTTTCTTTTTTAACTTTATTTTGAGAGAGAGAATGACAAAGAAAGTCAGCTTGGTAGGGGCAGAAAGAGAGAATCCCAAACAAGCTCTCCATGCTGGCATCGCCAAGCCCCAAGTGGGGCTTGAACTAATGAACTGTGAGATCAAGACCTGACCAGAAACCAAGAGCCAGATGCCTAACCGAGTGAGCCACCCAGGTACCCGCCTTGGTTTAGTTTTAAGCAGAAATGCAGAATCATCTTATGGAATTCAAAAATATGGAAAATATTTTTGTATCTAGTTCTCCCCTTTCCTTCCCTATCCATTCTTTTTATTTTTTTTCCTCAGAAATATTCATTTAGCATTTACTGTGCTCAACGTTCTAGGAATACAACAGGGAATTCTAAGGCATATAGCCTATGCCTCTGGAGGGAATAGGAAGCAAGATCATTGGAGATAAATGTGCTTTACAATTTATGAATACTCAGGAAATGGTGGTAGGGTACCTCTGCTGATTGTTAATTGAGAGAAGCAGTATCTTCCAACAAGCTCTTCTTCGTGTCACGGTCAAAGAATTACAAACAATAGACTATTTAGTGATGGTAATCTTGTTCTAATCTTAGCAATTTCTTACATGAAGCCCAATTAATTTTTCAGAGAGCAGATTGTTTGAATCACACTTATATTAGGATTTTTCTCAGAAAGGTCTTAAGTTACTATTTGCTGCTCAGTCTCCATGTCTTTTTCTTTCTAATATCAGTGCCTATAATATTCAGCTTTACATGTCAGTTTAACAAGGTATAGTCTCTTAGTGATTCAATTTAATGGTAACCAAGATGTTACTGTAAAGATGCTGTCTATATGTGACTAACATGTATAATCAGCTAACTTTAATAAAGGAGATTCTTCTCCATAAGCTGGGTAGGTTTATAGTAGTCAGCTAAATAATTTCATAGAAAAACCAGTTTCCATGAGGAAGAAGAAATTCTACTAGTGGAGAGCACCATCAGCTCCTGTCCAAGATTTTCAGCCTGTCTGCCCTAAGTATTTTCACTTAATTAGCTAGCTTCCTCAACCACATATCAATCAATTCTTTCAAGAAATCTGTACATATTTGTGAATCTCATGGGTTCTATTTTTTCTGGTGGAACTCGGAAAGATACAATGCCCAAAGCTTATTTAGATGAATGCCCCCCTCTGCACTGCCTGTGTGGATCAGTTGGTTAAATGTCCGATTGCAGCTCGGTCATGATCCCATGGTTCATGGGTACAAGTCCCACATCAGTGTCTGTGTTGGCAGCTTGGAGCCTGCTTCAGATTCTTTTCTATTTTTTTAAATTTATTTGTTTTATTTTTTTAATGTTTTATTTATTTCTGAGAGAGAGAGGCAGGCAGTGTGAGCAGGGGAGGGTCAGAGAGAGTGAGACACAGAATCAGAAGCAGGCTCTAGGCTCTGAGCTAGTTGTCAGCACAGACCCTGATGCGGGGCTCATACCCACGAACCGTGAGATCATGACCTGAGCTGAAGTCAGATGCTTAATCGACTGAACCACCTAGGCACCCCCTGCTTCAGATTCCTTGTCTCCTTTTCTCTCTGTCCCTACCATGCTTGCACTGTTTCTTAAAAATTATAAACATTTAATAAAATGAAGAAGAAGAAGAAGATGCCTCTCCATT